GATCAGAACTTGAACCCACCCCACACCCGGGTACCCTACAGAGTATTTCTTGTCATGAGTTTATTAAAAATGCTATCTTACTCACATCAAGTGGATCAATGCATTTTTTTTACCCTCCATATAATGAAACCACGCCCTCCGGTGTGATAAGAACATAACAACATTTAATGATGCTTCATGGGTGGTGATATTTCAAAATATTTCAAGACTTTTTCAGTGTAACCCTCAACTACATTCAAAAATATGAAGATAAGACGTTTTACCATAAAATTTGAAATTGTTATCCCTTCAAAATGATCATTGTTGACCAAGATGTACATGTAGCCGAATCAACAGTAATTTAATTGCATTTAGAACAAAATATCGTGAAATGTGAGGGTAAAGGTGTTGCGCAGTTAATAATAATTATTTTGCTACCTTCTTTTAAAATCTTAATTTTTTTCAAACCGTTGCTATGTAATGTTACTTGAAGAGGGTGGGGGTAATTGAAAGCACACAGTAGATTATTTTATTCTTATTGATAAAAAAAATCTTAAGTCAAAAGCACTCACACAAATGGAATCAAGTAAAAGAGAGCAAGCCAAGTATTTGTTTCAAGAAATAATTAATTGTTAAACTTTCTTGGTAGATATTGGTAGTCAATTTTTACTTGTTCAAATCTATATGTAAAAGTATTATTGATGTTTGTTATATATTTTTCCTAAATATTTTTATCATAACAGTTACAGAAATTGTAAGACTTTGGCTTTAATCTAGGAATTCACCCGCATGGTGCAGTGGTTAAAGCATCTGCTCTAGATTTGCGAAGTAAGGAGTCGATCAATCCTTACATCGCTGTGGGACGTGGAGAACGGTCCTTCAGATAAGACCGCATAAACCGAGGTCGCGTGTCGCAGTAGGCACTGGGGCGAAAAAGATTCCTCACTGCTCAATGGCCCTAAGTGCTGAGTATAGAACTTTGCAGCTCTCCACCGGCAAGTGGTGGCGTCTCCATATATGCATGAAAAGTTCTCGAGAGGGACGTTAAACAAAATACAATCATAGTAGAAAGATTCACGTCCATCTACTTTTCTTTTTTTAATGTTGCTCTTATTAAATAGTGACTTTGAAAGTGTTCCAGATTGTTCACATTCTAAAGCATGCTCATGGGAATGCCTTTATCACCAGTCGCCACAAAATGGCGCTTCAATAAGTGCCTCATCAGGCATTTTACTGTTGCAAAAGTGACCACATGGTCTACAAGGAGAAGTTAAGTTTTTAAAAATGGGTTCAAAATATTTTGTTAAAAGTTACATTAAGAATTTTGAAAAAGAGCATTCAAGCATTTAAATCCGTCTAAACGATTCCATCTGAATTATTTCCATTGCTATAAGCATACTGCAGCTCTTGTACATGTATACATGTAGATGGTGCATTCATTGTAATGAAAAAGCTCAATATCAATTGTCATTTTATGTAAGGTTTTGTAACTATTTACAAAAGCAATCAGCAGTAATCTGGAAAGCAAAAAATTGTTTGAATCACACTGCCCAAATTCAAGTCCCGGAGATGCCTGAATGGAATTAAATATTCGATTTTTCTAACTTGTAGACCTTCAATCAAATTCCGTCCATAAATTCTGTGCTTTTTCTTTTAAAATGATAGATTTCTATATATTTTCTAGATATCTAATCAAAATATATTCTGTGATGATTCATGTTACAACTCTGATATACATTGTACGTGTCTGATAAGCTTCCTCGCAGAATTCTTTAAAAAAGGCTGTTTTTATTTATTTTGTATACAAACTGTGTTCCATACATTTTTTTGTTTTTATTTATTTTCCGTGTATGAAACCCACAACTACTGGGGTATAAATGCCCATCAGGAGTGAACAAATAAAACGGAAATTAGCACATTCACATTTAGGAACTTCACATATATTGTGAACACAAACAGCGTTCCATACATTTTTTGTTTACATGAATTTAGAGATTTTGCACAAGTACACGATCTACCCCACAATACGGAATAATTATTCTTTTTGAAAATAAATTTTAAAAATTGTATTTTATAATGTTTTGTAATTTACAAGTGTGCATGAATAAATACCCAAATTCATGCCGATAGGCCTGTAACTGCAGCCATGATATATATGATATGTGTAGATGATATTTGGCCTGTGTGGAATTCAAACTTCACTTCTTTGAAAATCAAAATATATAATATTTTTGATTTAGTTTTGATTGCATAACAAACTACAGGTTAAAACAACAACTTTTAATGCTATTTGGCTATTGTTTACAGGTTGTCTGTCATAGGAATCTCATATAGAGAAAGTACGGTGTGCAAATGGGTCATTCTAAATTCATTTTGATCTCTAAAAACCTTTCGATTTCCCAGCTTTCCCCTGAGTGAATTTTTCTAAACTTTTTATATGTGAGTTACCAATAGCTTATCTACAAATCTGCATTAAAATATATACTGTTGCAATTAGTTCTCATTTTTCAGTAGAATGACTAGACTATATTACCACTTCGCCATTATAACTGTTAATAAACCAGTCTTTTTTCATATCATAATTGCGATCTAATTTTCCATATCCTCAGTCCGAGAATGACCAAACAAATATTTTTTTCAATCGCAACTTAGCTGGTTCTATATATAGAACAAACATAGCCAGCAAAGACTAGACGTAAGATTGTAAAAGTAATTCAGGCTGAGAGAAGAAAAGCGTGGTTATCTGGGAAATAAAGCAACGATCTTGTGTATTAAATTTTTTAAATAACGTTTACAGCTAGCTTGACTTAGATATGGTATTTATTTTTATGAAAAACAAACCGGCTATTGGTATTGTAAATGTTAGCCGCGATGCACAATATGTGAATTATTGCCATAGGGCACTTTATCCACTCTTATCAATTGCTAAAATTGAAGGCGAAATACCCCCAGTGATGAAGTAGAAAAGATGGGTATCTGTAAATGTTTCAGTTACAAGTGCTATTTAAAAAATAAATAACAAGTTTATAAACTTCAATGGGAATTGAAGTGGGTCGGTTACGTGATCAAGTCCTGTGAAGTCCGAAGGCCTTCTCAGAAGATTTGATCACGTACCGACCCACTTCAATTCCCATTGAAGTTTATAAACTTGTTATTTATTACTTATATATACATTTGAGAAAGACGATTGAATACTTTCGAATATAATTAATTATTGCACTAACCGTCCGTCGTAGATTTTTAAAAATGACGCAAGGTGTAAATCGGCTTGAATGGCGGATACGCTTCGAATTAAGCAGGCTAAGGATTTTGTTTCTAAGGGAATATCTTGTTAAGGGCTACCTGTGATCAGTATTAGTGAACAAACTGTTGTCTGGGAATATTTCTATTCGTGAAAATTGATAATTGCTGCTGAAAAGACACAAGAAACACGTCTGAAGATCGATGATAAAAAGTTTGAGGAATTTCGGTCGCCAGAAAAGGATGGGTGATCCGATGGATGGAAACACTTGACAGTGCCAGTTTATTTGCAATCAAGTATTTAAGATCAAAAACATTTAACCTACGATATCAATATCTAAAGGCATATTCATGATGTAAACAAAACACGGGGACACTAGCGAAAACTTACATTGAACTACGACAGCGCCGAGGTGTTTGTCAGCTGTTCGTGGCGTGATTGCAATGCTTTGATATTTTCCAACAGATTTACACATTTATCGTGAGTAGAATTTGATGAAAAAATTATAGTTTATCATGAAGATTTAACCAGAAGTCTACCAAAACATAAGGATAAACGTTAGAGACTGTACAGCTGAAAAAAAAGAAGACAATAACTCGTGAACAAACTTGTAAACAAAGGCTAGTTTCTATCGGTAAAGTTTCCATGTATACAAAGGTTAAATCGATAACCAAAAAACTGTATAAAATACTTGTTAACATTGTAAATAAAATTATTATTATTTTACTTGCATATTTTGTTCATTTTTATACATGAAATGCAAGTAGATCAAGTCATTTTAAATTTATGCACCGATAGATATTATTGCGCCGTGTGATTAGGTCACGTATTGACCTCTGACCTCAGACAAACTTCATACAGAATTGAAGACATTTGTTCTCCGTATGTTTATATAATAGAGAGATACCACAAATGTATATATATTCAATTAAGAATCAAACAACTACATTATTCATAATGAACAAATACATACATGCAAATGAGAGCCAAAAATAGTCCCTGACACACTTTACAACAACTATCCGCGGTAGTTTCCATCCATTTATTTACAGGTAAATTAAATGCTTAACACAATTCGAATTTGTAACAAACAAAGATTGAAGAAAGTAAAACAGCAATGCTAACTTAAGTTTATTTGGTGTTGAATTCACTGACGATCAGTGTTCGATCTGCGCATGTGTGCTGCAAGTTCAATAGATTTAGGTAAGTAGGTTACACTACGCATGTAGTGTGTTGTTTTCATATCTGAACAAAAAAATCATCAGTTTCATTTTGAATTTCAGATTGAATCTATACATAACTTAAATCTTAATTTTTCTTTTTCATCAGGGTCACATCTATAGTAAATTTTATGGTATTCCTTACAGTGACCTAATTATATTCTTTTCATGAGAATTTTGTAAAAATGGGTTAACCTATGAACTGCTTTTGCATTGGCTAATACTATTTATTATGAATTGTGTTAAAACTTGATAAACAACTTGCAAATGGCGGATGTGAAAAGAAAACTAGATTGAACTAAATATTAATTTCTTTAAAAGTCTCAAGCTTTTAAGAATCACTGAGCTAGCAGAGATTAATTTTTGTGGAAATGTAGATTCTAAAATGATAAAATCATGACCCCGAGAGTAGCCAATTATTTTTTTTACATCGAAGTACAGCATGAGGAAAAATTCTTTGTAAAGTCTTTTTCTGAAGAATCACCGAGTCAGAGTATATGATTTATTTATTTTTTTTTTTTGGGGGGGGGTGTCTTTGGGATTTTAAATCAATAAAATCAGAGCCCGGGGTGTGTGTTAGGGTAGATGACACACATGGTATTGTGTATATTCTAAATTGTATAATAAAAACCATGGCCCGGGGGGCAGCTGGGGGTTTTACATAGGAATATATATGCGATATCTTACAAAAATTCTGAGGAACAACAGAGCCTGATTAAACTTATTGATACAAAAATATACACAAGTGAAGACGTTCAAGTTTCTTCAATTCATGAGCCTCGGGAATAGAGAAGGAACAAATTGAGCAATATTCCCCGTAATGTTGCGATTTATGCAGGATACGTTTCAACAAAATCATATGGCACCTACTAGTATACAAAGGTCGGTATATTGGCTCATACTTATTTTTTTTATGTCAAATGTGGAATAAGAAAAACGAGTTTCTATAATCTTTACTTTTACAATAGCGGATTTAGAGGGGGGGGGCAGGGGGCCCGGGCCCCCACTTTTGAGTCCAAAAAATATACAATATTTAATAAATCTGTGTTTTTTGGTGTGGCTTCGGGCCCCTACCCTGACCTAGAACTGGTCCCCCCCCTTTTAAAAATATCTGGATCCGCCACTGTTTTAGGCAACTATATAGCTTAAATTCACTGCATGTGTGTTAATTCCTCTACACGATCCATTATAAGATTATTAATGCTTTTAATGTTTAAAGACTGATCATGAGAGATGGCTAAAACTTGACTTATGGTTGTTATCTGGGCATCATGAAGTATTTGAACTTCTTGGTGCACTGTTAGAAACTCTTGATCTAAAGATAATTATACAAGATAATGTATGTTCTAAATACTTTTCCCCCAATCATTTCTTTAAGAACAAATAAAAATAGTCTGACCAACAACGTTAATGTTCCCTTTCAATCACTAATTTGAATCTGATACTAGATTTAAAACAATATATGTTGCCCCGTGAAACTGCTGAAAGCATGATAAATTTAGTGCTAACAAAAAATAAGGCTGTCAAACATTCCTACCCCTTTTTGGTTACTTTTTTGTTTCGTCTTTTTTTCTTTTCATTTATATCTCTACGTTTTTGCTTTGAGAATTATAGATACACAGTGTATTTGGATTATAGTACATATGAGGAGATGGAGGAGAATATACAAGCAATATTCTCAAAAAAATACTTATATCTAACTAAATATTTAATCTTTTCTATTTGTAGATCATATTCACCAACATTCTACGGATGATGGAGAAGGTTGTGCTGCAAATTATCAAACTTTAAATGAAATCATCATAAAGAAAACTGGTAAGGTCAATGATCAAAGCCACGATAACAGAAAAAGTAGAAATAGAAAAAAATGTCCCAATTTTATTTTCATTATTTAAGGTAACAGACCAGTAAGTGCAGAACATGTGTATGACTTGGAAAAACACATCGATGGATTCCCTCATCCACCACCAGGGACATTGACCATGACAACAGTGGAACAGTGTCATGGACAGAACCTGATAACTCTACATTCATACGGGGTCTGGCAGGTCAAAAATCGATAATTACAAGTTCTGTTTTATTAAATGAAAATACTGGCTACTTTCTAAACATTTTGTATGCAGTTTTCATGAAAAAACTCACCGTTTTCTTTGTATACTTCCAGTCGATTGTTTAAATGTTCAAAAGTTGAGCTTTTACAGAAATAAAGCCTGTTATAAATATTCATTGTTTTTAAATATTGCAGACTAGCAATATTTCTGAATAATGAGATATTTCACTGTCTCTCATTGAAACATCTGGCGCAAAATATTGAAGAATGGAAAGGAAATCGGCAGAGGAAAGGGGCTGGTAGAGCTAGATATGAAACCCCAATTTTTATTTTACTTAGTATTTTTCATGAGCAAATATCCAAGACTTATTTTTTGATCTATGGATTTTAATTTATAAGGGCAAATCTTTTCCTTAACTGAATTCCTCTTTTTTATATTATATACCACAAAATACAAAGTAGATGGTGAAATACTCAGTGTTTGAGAAATGTCAGCAGATTTAACAATAGCTTAAACAGGCTTTCTGTTTTCGATAGCAGACATTTTGAACATCAGCAAACAACAGAAAGTATGTACTATCTTTTTTTTTTTAGGATGGAGTGATATTCCTGAAGAAGATGAATCCTGTTAAATGAATATTTTTCAACATTATCCCCACAGTGATCTAATAAAAATGTACAAACATATTATGAGAGAAGTAGGTATGCACCCTTTATGCATATAAAAATGTTGTTAAAAGTTTTAATGTTGTTTTATTACTTTGTCATTCATTAATTAGATAAATAAATTTATTAAAAGATCAAATTTGAAGGATGAAAAGAAAAGAAAAATTATATAATTTTTGTATTCTAGCAATAATAAATGTATTTTTAGTAGAAGTGCATTCATAAGTAATATTATTTTTGTTATATAATTTAAGTGACATTGAATATTGTCATGGTATAATTTAATAATGCACTCTACAACACTCATAATCATTTAAAGTAAAATGACGAAGAATGCAAAATCACAACAAATGGAAAAAATCAATTCACTCAAATTCAACAAAATGAATTTTTGACACATCGTGTACATAATCATTATGCTTTTCTGTGTTGACTTCAACTTTATCACATTACCTATATTTTATATTATCATTCTCCATCTCGTAGGTCGCAGTCCAACAGTCCGAGAGTTGAGCCTATTGTTTCCAATTCTTGAAGGCAATGAAGCTCTTGAGTCCACCCGTAAAACACCAGATATTTTAAACTGTTAAAAACTATCGTTTTCCCCTCCAAATATTAGAAAAAGGGTTTGATATGAAATAAAGCTTTAGACATTGTGTAATTTTTATTTCCATTTTCAGGACAGTTTCTCATTGATTTGGAAGAGTCAAAAAGAAATATACAGTTAGAGAAATCTCAAAACAATAAGTTGAAAAGGGAACTTCTTTCGATAAATGTTGATCTGGAGATCCTAGAAAAAAAAGAAAAGAATGCTTCAAATTTGTTTGTGCTTGGGTTTGTGTTTCATGTGTTTGATTGTTTTAGTCCTACAATAACATTGTAAAAGACATTTTAACACAAGATTCAGACAAATCTTTCATTGCATATACATGTATATGTTTTAATTTTTATTCATTTTTTCATTTCAAAGAAAGTGGATAAGTTAAGTTTTATTCTTCTTTATGATCCAGTATGTTATCATACCACATATTTAAGAACAGTAGATATTCTGACTGCAGCATTGTAGATCGAGCTATGGTTTTATATTTTAATTTTGACGATATAGGTAAACAGTAATGTATAAAACCACAACGCTACAGTTCTTCAGCTACTCGTATCTCAGTCATTTATGTGATCATGAATGGTTTTCAGATTTCTTCATGCTCCCTTGGTCAAAATATGGTTCAAAAGTTTCGTTCTGTTCTAAGAACTGGTGCCTTTTATATTTTATTTATTAACGAGGCTGGGGGGTGGCAGCCATTTTCAGACTATTTCGATCTCCTTTAAAAGAAGAGCTCTATATAAAGATATACAAAATGATCAAATTTTAAAACTAAAATGTATGAATTTTTTCTTTGCCAAATAAAAGCTGACAGCTTAAGATACCGTATTTTAAAATATAAGTTAAATCTGGTGGTTAATTTGTGAGGAATTTGTTGACCCCCCAGCCTCCTTAAATTTGTTCTTGAACTTTTAAACTCATAATTTTGTACTTTATATGTTTAGAGAAAGGGAAAGGATAAACACATCAGATGACATGTTGATTGTTTTTATGCATATATGTTTTGCTAGACAGGGTAATTTTTATTTGTCGTGAGGATGGATTTTTATTTATTTGACTAGATTGATTTTAGGGCAACGACAGTTAACTATTTAAGTTTTGATTTGTTACTAAGAAGTATTTTATCAATATAACTAAGTAGTAATGTCATTATAAGGAATATACATTATGAATGATGAATTGTTATCAATTCTTTCTAATGTATTAATAATTTTTTTCAACCTTAGTGCCTTTTTATGAAGGCATATGAAATATGTTGATATTATATTTGACAGAAAAACAATTTTGAAATAAAATGACCAGGAAAAAATCGTAATTTTCAAGAACACAAACATGTATTTGAAAGAAAACTTACCTCAAAAATCAAGGATATGATCACCATGACAACATAGATGTCGAAATTTCTTACAACACTGACTCGTTTTATTTTATTTAAATACTTTTTGTTTTACTAAAGGTACGAACATTGAGTTGTTATTATCTCCCTTTCATCATTAATATTTTGTTGATGTGTAAAAATTTTGAAATGTTTACACTTACAAAAGTATAATCAATTTTTAATTTTCTTTATTATGTTTTTTTATATTGAAATATATCTGTATTTTATTATCTGAGTTCCATGAAGAATTATCTTTCTACATACAACTAAAATGATTTACATAAATGTACAGAAAATACATAGCAGAGAGCAGGTAGGAAAAGATATAAACACATATAAAGAATATAATACAAGTATAATAAACAGTAAAAATATGTTACGATTCTAATCAATTTACTCTACTGACTAAGAGTACTAAAGGGAGTATAAAACACATTTTTATCACCTAATTATTTGCTAATGAGCGCATTGATGAAGTTTTCCATTCAAGATTCTCTTATACATCGAAAAAAAAATAATTAAAATTCCTTTCTTAGATGACTAAAAAGTATCGAAAATTAAATTGATCCAATCAAAGGGAAAGAAATTGTTCCCCCTCACTTCCCACTCTTACATATACATGTGTAAAAATAGGAAAAAGAGACTAGGAGACTTATTGTTCACAGAACAATAAGAGGTCTTTCCACCTTCTTTGAATTCCAATTTTGTTTTATATCTGACTCCTTAAAATTAAATTCCATGAATATAAAACCAAAATTGTCTTAAAAGGAAAAATAAAAAAAAATTAAATTAAAAAAAAATGAAATGACCTTGACCTTTGACCTTGAGAAAACCTTCAAGGTCAAAGGTCAAGGGTCACAATGTAATTGACCCCATGCCTCTACGACTTATACTTTTTAAGTTATAAGGTTTAATTGTAAGTACAAAGACATTAAAGGGCAATAACTCATATAAGGGGTCATTAGATCCTTTTGCACTTATACAGGGAAGTTAGGCCTAAAGACCCTTAAGACATTAGTAAAGATTTGGTGCCTCTATGGTCTATGGTTTCGGAGGAGTAGCGATAACAAGGTTTTTCGCACAAGGGGTAATAACTTTTAAAAGCGTCAATCTTAGGGGACAAGAATAAAATCTTCAAAAGAGTATTAAGAGTGCATATTACAGACAGAAGATAGATAGTATATGTTTAAGGATATAAGAGCTATTAAAAGAAATTTATTCCTCATATTGGGAATGACCTTGACCTATGACCTTGAAATTAATTTAAAGGTCAAAGGTCAATAAAACTTATGCAGTTGGTTTCATGTCTCTACGACGTCTCGTTTTGAAAAATTTTAGTTTTTTATAAAAATTTGTAAACTTTCAGGGGCAGTTACTCATTGTAGGGGTCGAATTAAACTTTTGTAATGAATAGATTGAAAAGTCTCCAAAATTAGTTGAAGATGTTAGTGAAGGTTCTGCATCTCAACGGTTTATGGTTTTGGAGGAGTAGCGATAACAACCTTTACGGTGAAAGGGGCGATAACTGCATAAGAGGTTTAAGTTAAAACATGGGCGGTCATTTTTCGGAATAACTTTAAATATCCAGTATAATGAACTATAAAGTTTTTCGATAAGTCTTAAGGTGTCAAAACATAAGGTGAGAAATAGAATAATAAAAAAACACTAGGAGACTTATTGTTCACAGAACAATAAGAGGTCTTTCCACCTTCTTTGAATTTCAAATTTGTTTTATATCTGACTCCTTAAAATTAAATTCCATTGATTAAAAAGAAACCAAAACTCTCTGAAAGCATAGAAAAAAATGAAAATAAAAAAAAGAATGACCTTGACCTTGGACCTTGAGAAAATATTCAAGGTCAAAGGTCAAGGGTCACAATACAATTGACCCCATGCTTCTACGTCTCATAGTTTTCACGTAATAAGGTTTAATAGTAAGTACAAAGAAGTTAAAGGGAAATAACTCATATAAGGAGTCATGGGATCCTTTTGCACTTATACAGTGAAGTTAGGCCTAAAGACCCTTAAGACATTAGTGAAGGTTTGTAGTCTCTACGGTCTACGGTTTCGGAGGAGTAGCGATAACAAGGTTTTTCGCACAAGGGGCAATAACTTTTAAAGGGTTTAATGTTAGGGGACAAGAATGAAATCTTTGAAACAGTTTTAAGAGTACATATTACTGATGCATAGATATTAAATATATGTTAAAAGACAAAAGAGATATAAAAAATAATTGCTCATTTTTGGAATGACTTTGACCTTTACATAATACTAAAGGTCAAAGGTCACTTAATCTTATGCAGTTAATTCCATGATTCTACGACTCCTTGTTTTGAAAAAAATTAATTATTTATAATATTCAAAAAGGTTAAGGGGCAATAACTCATTGAATGGGTCATCGAATACCTTTGCAATGAATAGATTGAAAAGTCCCCTTAATTAGTTGAAGACATTGATGAAGGTTTCATACCTCTATGGTTTACGGTTTCTGAGGAGTAGTGATAACAAGCATTTCTTGCGAAAGGGGCAATAACTTTGAAAGATCAAATATGGGGGGTCATTTTTCGGAATAACTTTTAATATCCAATATCATGAACTATAAAGTTTTTCGATAAGTCTTACGGTTTCAAAACATCTCCAGAAATAATAATAAACAGAAGCATTTCAAGAGGTCTTTCCACAGAAAGGTGGAAAGACCTAAATATGGATATGTTATATAACACAATGAATTTATGTATATTTTAAGACCGATACAAATATAGCAGTATAAAAATCCTTTGATTATTGAATCACGCATATATACGAGGGGTTATCAAAAAGTTCGTGGACTGAGTCGATAAAATTAATGCTACGTAATCTGTGCTTTCAAAATTTATAAGGAATATAAAACAACAAAAAATAAAGAAATTTTGAAATTTTTAGCTTCGTACGTTCATTATCTGCTAAGCTATAATAAAATAAAAACGACATTATATGCTCACTTTGCACTCTCGTCGTATAATTTTTATGACGTCCCAACGTCATATTTTTCAAAGTCCGATTCTTCTATCTCATACACTTATCTTCATGAAGTTTCCTGGATTTGAATAAGGACTTTAACCCGTCTTGTTTGTATGCCTTTACAATGTCATGAAAGGCTGCTTCCAATGCATATAATATTGCATATGGATTTATATATCTGGAGAGATCGTTGCTTGATTCTGCCAGCATAGTTTGTTATTTGAGTTCAATATCTACCACAAATAATCAACTCCATATTTTGACGTTATTGACTTTACACCTTGAGTACAAATCGCCATTAACTGTTTATTCATTTTCTTTCTGAATCTATTTTGGCATCTTAAAAAGTCATGCATTTTATTTCGCTGTATATCCTACGTCTATAACAGTTTTTCTCAGGCGCAAAACTTTATAGAATGTTGGAAAAAGAAACCCCCTCTTGACATCATTTTAAAGCCCTTATTTTTTTTGGACACTCCATACAAAATGTACGATAAAATTTTACAGAACTAAAGGAATAACGTAATAATTGCATATTTTACGGACTAATACCGTCCCATCACAAATCTGAATTGAAGGAATTTTTTCAAAGGA